CCCCTCCCCTCCATTCCTTTCTTGATTATGACTCATAATTTAACCCTAATTTGCCAACTCCACTAGCACCATTATTTAGTTTAAAAGCACTATATAGAAAAACTAGCCCCCCCCCTCCCCTCCATTCCTTTCTGGATTAAGACTCATAATTTAACTCTATTTTTGCCAACTCCACTAGCACCATTATTTAGTTTACCTTATTGCTTTGTAGATGGTTTTATAGAGAATGACTAAAGAACAGAGGGGGAGAAGGTGGAGAACAAATAGAGATACAATAGTGGAAACCTGCAAAGGGTTGATATATGTAATATAGTGAATTAATAAAATAGGTATAAAAGGAATTGAGTTTTTGCCATAAACTCTAATTTTCTAATCCTATAATATCTCGTAAACCTTAGATATTTCAAACTACGAATTCTGTTAGAATAAATATTTAAAGTTTGAACTATTAAAGGTTTAAACCATTTGGTTGCACAGATATGGGGATTCAAAAATTTGAGTTTGCTGCAAAAACTCAATTCCTTTGTAATGTCATTTAGATATCTGAACAATTCCTTTGTTATTTCATTTAGATATCTGAACAATTCCTTTGTAATTTCATTTAGATATCTGAACAATTCCTTTTATCTGAAAGATATTCCTGACCTTTGAGTAGTGACTAGTGAGTTCTGTGCATTAAAGGGAGTGACCGGCTATGCAAGGTAGTTGAACTGAGCATGCAGTGTTGTGGAAAACCTCTTTCGGATTCATTTGAGACATATTAAACTTTTTAAAGGTCCGTAAATTCCGAGTTTGAGCGCAAATTCGACGTTCAAAATTCCTACTTTGGGGGATGGATACGTTCTCAGAATTAGTTTTTTTTCATCATTAAATAACGACAACGAAAAATAAAATAAAAATTATACAGTAGTCTAATTAGATGGTTAGGAACATATTTCTCAAAAGAAATATGTCAATAAATCAATGCTAAAATCGATTATTTCGTTTTCATTATTATATTGAATTTCTAATTTTTATTGAATTTATTCGCGGATTTCTTCAAATCTGCGAATAAAATCATTGAAAATCTTTGTCAATAATGAGAAACCAGAATAATGAGAATATAGAAACTTATAATTGAACAAGATTACTTCTTTTCGATGATAAGATTAATTTTTATTTTCTCAACATGTTCCTAAACATAACGTCTGTAGTTTATTGTAGAACTTTTTTTACATTTTATGTCGACGTTATTCAATGATTTAAAAAAACTAATTCTGAAAACTCAGGATTTACAGATCTTTAAATGAACCCGAAAGACGCTTTCCACAACACTGCATACTCAGTTCAACTACCGTACATAGCCGGTCACTCCCTTTAATTTAGTTTTTTTTCGATTTTAGAACATATCTTCTTCAGGTCAAAAATAAGAACAGCGACAAAAAACGATCCAATGACAAACGTGATGTAATGATTATTTTTCATATATTTATATAATATTTTAGGATACAAATATTGCAACGTTCAATAAAAGCTATAACAGAATACAGTTTTGAAATGTTGAAAGTTTTATTACATCTAACTAAAATGATTAACACCAATATATACCTTTGAGTATGTTGGATCTGTTCTAAGGTGTGTAGGTTGGGGAAGATAATAATGAAATGTTTTGTTTCCATCCAACTCTTCTCTAGTATACTTGTGGGAAACAACTTCGTATTCGAAAAACCTGGAACAATATTGAGGTTAAAACTATAATGTTGAGGTTAAAACTATAATGTTGAGGTTAAAACTATAATGTTGAGGTTAAAACTATAATGTTGAGGTTAAAACTATTGTTTAATATCTGTGTTCACTTTCCTCACGGGCAGCCGTAGTACATTTGAATTTCCGAGCTGGGTCAACCTTTCCGGTCCCAGTTTGTACTGTATCGCCCGGACATTGGGTAAATAAAGCAGACACTCATAGGGCTAGCCGGTGCAATAAGATTGACGCGGTCAGACTTTAGGTTAAATTTACTTTTACTAAAGGGTCAGAGGTGCGTGTGCTGGCCGCCCTTTTATTAAATACTTTTTAAATATCTCTTAATGTTTGTTTTTTTGACGTTTAATGGACAAATTAACAGACATACCAGCCAAACAGTTATTGCCACAGACATGAACTAAATTAATCAGACTATAAAAGGGACAGTAAGGGTATCATCGCAAAATTGACCTTTGCCATCTGTGCTTGGAGGGTCACTTGAAATTATTGCTTTTCGAAGTTTCTTGGCTTACGGATTTTATTATTTTTTTTCTGATGATCAAAATATACAGAGTGTACAAATTATATATATTAAGAAACCTGAACAAGTTTTAAGTTTTTTTTTTTTACAAAAAAAGTTTTTCCTCATCAACTCAGCAGAACTTTATAAAGAAGAAAACTGCTAACAATAGAACTTTTTTGAAGATGATTTGTTATAATTGGTTTATTTTGTAAATGTTTTTCAACACACTTTTAAAAAAGTGTAATTTTTTGCAAAATTGTAATAACTTATCAACTAATCAAGTGAAATGGTTCTATTATTACAGTAAAACACAATTCTATATCTGTTTGTTTGTCCGTTTTTTATCCCATAAACGTCAAAACGGTAGAACCGATCTGGCCTAAACTTTTGTGTGGGACTTCACGTGCCCCAGGGAAGGTTTATGGATGATCAAAATTTCAAAAATTAGCATCCAACAAAATTTGATTGTCAATAAATTTTAAAATCCAAGAATTTATTTTTTTACTATGTATTCAAAGAGAATATGTTCATAATTGAAATGGGCGAGAAGCTCCATGAAAGCATACTTAGCAATGACAACAGGTTGATTCGTTTAGATTTAAATTGTATTCTGTAGAAGTTTGCTTTTATCAAGCATGCAAATCTGTTACCCTAGTTGAAAATAATTGAAAAAGAATAGATACAACTATTACAAACGTATTGGAAACTAGGCTTTTAGGGCGCTTCGCGCACATCTTCTATTTAAATTGTGAACATGTTCTTTTTGTTTACATTTTAAAACAAAGAAGAAAATTTTTTTGCAGATTTGAAAAAAAAATCGAGGATTTTCAAGAATTTAAAATTTTTTTACAAAATTAAAAACCTTTATTTTTTTATTTTATCATTCATAAACCTTCCCTGTGGTCACGTGATGTCCCACAAAAAGTTGGGCCCGATCGGTTCAGCCGTTTTGACGTTTATTGGATGCAAACAAAAAGACAAATAAAAACAGACAAGCCAAATTTATATATAGATTAATGTTACTGGCCCTTCTTCTTACTTTTATCATGATTTTATTTAAAATATCCTTATGTTCACGAACGGTTTATTAATTTTTTTCCTCATATTAAATTTCAGTTATCAATTCCTTAATAAAAAAGCTTTTTTTTGTATGCAACAAATTTAATTGAATATCACTAATCTAAAAATTATAAACTATGCAGGCCCATGCAGTAAAACCAGCTATTTACAAAGGAATGTAAATTTTTCCTATTATTGAAGATTCATGAAAAAGAAAAAATTTCTGAATAGTAACCAGATAGTAACCTGATAGTAACCAGATAGTAACCAGATAGTAACCATGTAGTAGCCAGATAGTAACCAGATAGTAACCAGATAGTAGCCAGATAGTAACCAGATAGTAACCAGATAGTAACCAGATAGTAACCAGATAGTAACCAGATAGTAACCAGATAGTAACCAGATAGTAACCAGATAACTTTGGTTTCCACATACTGGTGCGAAATTCAAAACTGGAGGAGCTACGAGGTCATAAAATCGTACAAGTCACAAAAGCTAAATTGCCGTGGATTGCAAGACTTTCGAAAACCGTAAAAATAGCGGAGATTTTCTTCAAGACCAATTTAGCTTGACCTTGTGATTACAAAAGTTTTATACAAACTTTTCTAACAAATTCCCAGATATTCTGAAAGTTTAGATGTAAAAGAAAGACTGATAATTGGCCTCCCTCTGCTAGAATATTTAGCTTCTTTTATATTTTTCCGTAAATGGGTTGAAGCTGTGCAGCAGAAAATTTCATTTCATTTCAATTCAATTTTATTTCATAAGTCAGTTAGGGAATCAGAAATCCTAGGTGAGAATAGGAATATATTAAACTATTATCTTTTTCATTTTTGAATATTTTTTCTTTGCACATATTGAAAAACTCAAAAAATTTATAAAAAAATTGTGGATTTTTTAAATTTAATGAAAATCGAATTTTGTTAAAGGCAAATTTAAGAAATTTGAGCAATCCCCTGGGGACATTTGAAATCCACCACAACATTTGGGCACGATCAGTTTAGCTTTTTTCACGTTTATATCAGTCTCCCCCTAACCCTGCTAGCAACAACACATCTCTGTGACTCTCTCTCTCCTAGCCTGATACCAGCTGACCCAGCTGTTGCTATGGCGGGGAGTTTAAAACACAAACAATGAGAACTACACATAAACTCTTTTAGTTTAGCTTTTTTGACGTTTATTAGATACCAACAGACAGACAAGCAAAGTATATATATAGATTGAAATTAACGTGTCATCGACAAAAATTGACATCATTTTATTCTCTTTCATTTGGATAATTAACTTTTTGAGAGACTTTATGCAAGACAATTTAAACTTATTCTGTTAGATATAAAGTTTTACTCATAATACCTGAGAGTTTTAGGGCAACATGCTAATCCTTATTTATTAGTTTTGTTTATTTTAAATAAAGTACTTAAGACGCTCTCTCAATGTTTTCAGCTTTCTTTTTTTGCAAGACCAAATATAATAAGGAGCCTCATCCAACGTGAAAAATTATAATTCAGAATTTTATTAGCTTGCAAGATATATTTAATATTTTTCTATTTTCTAAAAATCCGGTTTGCTCTCAACAATTCATTTGATTTTAAACTAATAAATAAATTTCTATGGCATTATTAAAAGAAAATCTAAGAACATTTTTTTACTGAATACCTTCTTATTTATATATTTTTGGTAAATTATGCTTAGATTTTGAAAAATGTACAGCTTTAGTAAAAAAAAAAAAGTTCATTTGATATATTAATGTTCTATTTAATTTCATTTTCAATTTCAATTTCAATACCATTTCTTTAACCAATTTGATTGAACTCCTACGAGCTTGTGCTACAAAAAGAAGTTTCAATGGCTAGCTTTGATCAAGATGAAAGTAAAACAATTTTATTTTCCAAACTTCAATTCAAATGGATCTAGTTTGTTTTGTTGATGTGAATAGAAGGAAAGTATATTTGAAAAAAAGTAAGTTACATAATATGTACTCATTTTCACTCAGGGCGCTTCGCACCCTCATTTCTGGACCCCACAAACTCCGAGCCAGAAACGAACTGAGGTCTTGTCGATAAATCTGATTTATCTTTGTAACCCAATGTCATAGACCTTTGATATAATTTTTTTTTTATATCTAACAATCTAAGTTAAATATATCAAAAGATTACACAATCAGGTTGCAACTATGAAGGGATTTAAAAAAAACTTGACTTTGTGGTAAGAACTCTGTTCCTTTATAGAATCCAATCATCATAACTAGACTTAAATTGAAAGTTTTTCACTATCAAACGTTAAACAGGAAATTCCGACGTATTTAACTTTTTTGGTACAATGCTAGGTCGAGGATTTTAAACTGAGAATATCATGAGTGCTAAATGTGATATATTTTTGCGTCATGATAGGATATTTTGGGCTTTATTATGAAGCATTTTTCTAATCTAGCTGATCATTTTTTTTACAATTTTTTTCCTAAATTTTTTGGACACATTTAATTTTTGGACCATAAAGAAAGTTAGAATTCAACTTATATATGAATAAATGAAAAAGGATTAAAGTCTCTACCTGGATATATTAAGAATGAAAGCTCCGGTTATAATGCTTGATATTATGATGAGTCCAGCATTCTCCATCATCTAGAATATTCAAGAATACTTGAAGGATTTCTACAAATATTTCAGAGGATTTCTTGGAATTTCTTTGATTTCAGAAATGGAAATCTCTGACTAGGAGAAAAGGAAACAGGTTTTTTGCGTGTTTATATTTGATTCTAGCAAAAAATTTTGAGTATTTCCTTCCTCAGACATTAAAAAAAATAATAAAGAAATATTTTGGATGATTCCAAGTTGAAATTTTAAAAAAGTGATTTTTAGAAAATTCAAAATTTAGAATTACATTCTCTAAAATATCAAGAATGATTCCAATTAGTACATGTTGTTTAGTTTAAAATATATTAAATTTTTAACATTTTTTAAAAGTATTATCCGATATATTCCAACGAATTTAGAGCAATATTTTTTAATTACAAAATTCCCAATTTCTTAAAGACAAAATATCTCCATTTCATATTTTTTGATTTTTGAATTTTTAAGTTTTGATGAACAAATTCATTCGTTTCGAAATTAAGTTATGTCTCAAGATTTCTGTATATTTAAAGTTAATTTATAGGTATTTTTTTTAAGTTTTAATCTAATTCCTGTTGCATTTTTTCACTGTAAATATGTAAATTATGACGTACAAAAAATGTTTTTTTTTGTGAGTTTGTACCAAAAAAATAACCTAACAAATGGAAATAGTTAGAGGCCAGAGCTGGGATCTTTTAAATGGGATGTTCTTAATCTTGATCGTTTAATTAATCTTCGTCTGGAGCTGTCAATCCAGGCACAACTCGTCAGATATAAATGTCAATCAAAACACAAACTCTTAACCGATCAATGCCAAACCAATAGGTACGATCTACTCGGCTCTGAATGTCACACAGGGACACAAGCGTAGCTATCAAACAATTAAGCTCTTAACCGATCAATGCCAAACCAATAGGTACGATCTACTCGGCTCTGAATGTCACACAGGGACACAAGCGTAGCTATCAAACAATTAAGCTCTTAATCGATCAATGCCAAACCAATAGGTACGATCTACTCGGCTCTGAATGTCACACAGGGACACAAGCGTAGCTATCAAACAATTAAGCTCTTAATCGATCAATGCCAAATGCCCAGGCAAGATCTCAGCTCGTCTGTTTCAACAAGGACCAAATTGCTTCTAACACCGTAATCAAAGCAGAGTCACAACCAACTATTGTGGATTTGCAAATATCTTACATGTTAAGTTTTTATATTATTTTTAATATTTCCAATATTAGCGCAGTTATATATTATCGTAGTTAAGCTAATCACAATATGAAGCTACAAGTTTTGCATATTTAAGGATTAGTTAGCTTTACATACCCTGTACAACGCAATTTATATAGGAATGTTCAAACTGTATTTATTACACTTTTGTGTGAATATTGTTAATAGTGACCGCTTGATCTCTGATCTCAGAACTAATTGCGTTGTGTATCTAAATTAAACATTCATCTCCATTTTGTGAAGAATAATTTCATTCCTTCGATATGAATTGACGGTTTTAATACTGCATGGGGATACCTTTAATTGAACAATTACGAAAAAAGTGACACCCACATTGGATATCGAGATCACTATAAGTGGCATTTCTTGGAACATTAGATATTAACATACTAAAAGGTTTTCTAATATCCTAAGTGAACATGAATGAAACATTAATACATTAAATATATATATATATACATGTAGATACTTTGCTTGTATATATCTGATATAAATATGTAGATGTAAAATGAATGGTGGAAAAAATATATTTTTGTTTTAATCATTTATACGATTTTTACAACACGTCCGAGAAAGAAGATTGAAGATGGAAAAAGTAAATCACATTGATAAAACAAATCCTATCATTATGATCAAAATATAAAAAGACAAATCCTTTTAATGGTTCTTCGTCTACAATCCATTTAATGGTTCTTTGTCTACAATCCATTTAATGGTTTCACGTCTACAATCCATTTAATGGTTACCCGTCTATAATCCTATTAATGGTTCCCCGTCTACATCCATTTAATGGTTCCACATCTACAATCCATTTTATGGTTCCACGTCTACAATCAATTTAATGGTTCCACATCTACAATCCATTTTATGGTTCCACGTCTACAATCAATTTAATGGTTCCACATCTACAATCCATTTTATGGTTCCACGTCTACAATCAATTTAATGGTTCCACGTCTACATCCATTTAATGGTTCTTCGTCTACAATCCATTTAATGGTTCTTCGTCTACAACCATTTAATGGTTCCCCGTCTACAATCCATTTAATGGTTCCACGTCTACAATCCATTTAATGGTTCCACGTCTACAATCCATTTAATGGTTCCACGTCTACAATCCATTTAATGGTTCCCCGTCTACAATCCATTTAATGGTTTTCTGCCTTCAATCCCTTTAATGGTTCCCCGCTTACAATCCCTTAAATAGTTCACCGCCTACAATCCCTTAAATGGTTCCCAGCCTCCAATCCTTTTAATGGTTCCTCGCCCACAATCCCTGAAATTGTTCCCCGCCTACCTGTGTATGTGGTTTACAGACGCTAAACCATCTCTCTATAGCAACCCCCACAGTAACATAGATAGACACCGTTAACGCTATCTCATCTACAAATAATATAATTCAATATATATATATTTATTTTATATCTACCATATATGCATAGATGTAATGACTAGGGGCAGCTAGTGATATTTTCCAGGGGGAATAGTTAAAATATTCGCGGAAAGGTTTAGAATCTTAGCCATAAATATGCTAATCTTTGCAACCTGAAGGCGTTAATATTGGGTTGCATTGATCGGATTAGGTAGAATAGATGACAGTGAAACGGCAGGTCGGTGTCACAAAAAAAATTAAAAAATAGTTAGGTACTTGTTTATTATTTGAGCTATTTGAGCTAAAGCTACATATTTAAAAAGCCCTAGAAAAATAAATATAGAAACATGTATGTATCGCATGTCAATTTTTGTCAAAAATGAATAAATTATTTTTAAACAATTTTCAGAAGAGTTTTTTCTTTAAAACTACTTTGCACCCAAACCATTAAAGGTCTAATATTTTTAATGAGGAGGCCTTGAAAAGTGAAACTAGGAACATGTATCACATTACCCTATCTTAATTCTAATAAAAATAGCGGAGGCCAAGTTTAAAGAATTAGCGCGCGATTTATGAAAAATAATTGGGTAAGTTGGAAATTTTAATAAATGTTTCTATGTTCAGCGATGCAGTTCAAATTCTTTATTTGGGTTAAAATTGTGAGATATTTCCCAAAAAATGTTAGATCGTCTAATAATATACCTAGAGGAAGAAGGATAGGAACCAGCCGAGGAGCAATTATTAGAGAATACACTGTGGGGAACAGACGGGGTAGAGAGAACAGGACAATACTGAACATAATAAAAATAATAATAATAATAATAATAATACCTGAGTATGACACAAAGTGAGTCTGACACTAGGAGGGACATAATCAGCTCCCTAAATATTTATTGTTTTTAAAAATAATAAATTTTTACTTTTTTTCTGGTACATATTTCAACTTTAACCAGCCATAAGCCTTCCCTGGGGTCATGTGAGTTACCTCAGAATGTTGAGGCTCGATTGGTTTTCCAGTTTTAACATTATTGGATACAAACACCCTTACAAGCAAAGTATATATATAGATGTTTTATCTTTAATTGATTTGCTCTACTAATTTATAAAGTTTATTGATGACCTCCTCTAATGTACAGTACGTGCATATGTGTACAATGTACATGTATTGTAAGAGGATTTTTAAAAGTTCTCTTGGAGGATTACATCAGATACAGAATAAAGAGGATTAAATAAAGGTTCATCATGAAAATGTAAATTAATTTATGCTTTTTATGGCAATGTATGCACACTGTAAACATCGGAGTGTAATATCTAAAAATTAAGAATCCAGGAATCTTGACATATTTTTTCTATACTATTTAAAATCTTTGAATAATTCTGTTTCTCAGACTAAGTTGAATTTATTCCTGTTTTTGAATCATAAAATTAAAATATTTTAATCCTCTAATTCATTAAAAAATTAAAATACCTGAAATTTTTCTTTTTTAATGGTTGGAACTAACCATTAATTAAATGACTAGAAAAAGTTGGAACGTGCCCAGCCCTACTCTTTGGGCCAAGGTGACCAATCTGACTAAGTTTTTGGGTGGGTTTCATATCCAATTTTTCCAGTTTAGTTTTAAAAACATGCATTCATTTTATCATATACAAATCTTACACATATGATATCTGATAGCTCCAAAATACGTGTAATCCTAAAGCTATTCCTTTGTTACCTTTAAACAGGTAAATATAACATTTTTTACAATTGCGGAAATAGGAAAAAAAATACATTAATAAATTCATATTAATTTCATCACTCTATCATGTAGTAAATGCCCTACTCCATAACGGTTTCCCGAACAAGTATCTATCCAAGTACAACTCAGGTTCTTTTGACTATCAATGTCAACACATGGCTACAATCCTGTGATACTTATCAATGTCTTAACTAGGACACAGTCCACACAGCTACACTCCCGTGGTCTATCAACGCCACTACCACAGGGCGCAATCTTGTTAGCTATCAATATCAATCAGAAGCTCGTAACAATCAATGCCAAATCAATTGGCACAATCCACACGGCTGCACTCCTCTGGTACTTAACAATGTCTCAACTAGGACACAATCCACGTGGCTTCCTGTTAAATATAATACCACTACCACTGGTAGTGATCTCGTTAGCTATCAATATTAATCAGAAGCTCTTAATAATGAATGCCAAATCAAAAAGCCATGATCCTCAACCTGTTTAGCAGAACAGGGATAGATTACTATCTCGCAGTAAACAGTACAGAGTCTCTATTGCAACTAAGGTATATTTCTTCATTTTAGATTAGAATTGGGTCTTTAACAGCGTAATCACAAGTTATGCACTGTAATATATAACATAGTTAAATTTATTTCGGAGCCTTTTCTGTAAAAGCTAGAATTCTCTTCTTAAAAGCAGTTGCTTGTGGTTTTTAGGAAAATGTCAGAATTCAACAATTAAATTTTATATTTTGGATATACCTGAACATTCCCTTTAAATCTAATATTTTGGATATACTTGAACATTCCCTTTAAATCTAATATTTTGGGTATACCTGAACATTCCCTTTAAATCTGATATTTTGGATTATACCTGAACATTCCCTTTAAAACTGATATTTTGGATATACCTGAACATTCCCTTTAAATCTGATATTTTGGAATATACCTGAACATTCCCTTTAAATCTGATATTTTGGATATACCTGAACATTCCCTTTAAAACTGATATTTTGGATATACCTGAACCTTCCCTTTAAAACTGATATTTTGAATATACCTGAACATTCCCCTTAAAACTGATATTTTGGATATACCTGAACATTCCCTTTAAATCTAATATTTTGGATTATACCTGAACATTCCCTTTAAATCTGATATTTTGGATATACCTGAACATTCCCTTTAAATCTGATAAATTGAATTTTACCTGAAGAGTCCCTTTAAATCTGATAAATTGAATTTTACCTGAAGAGTGGTTTCAGACCAAGATCATGGATGAGTAGAATATAGAACATAACACTGTTTCCTGAAAGCAAAATATAAACAGAGATATATCATTGGTCTATAAGAATACAATAGCAATTATAGCTTTTCTTATTAAATAGAACAGAAATGTTCAAAATTTCATCAAGTCGGATAAATTTGATTTCTTGTAAATGAGCATAAAATCAAATCGAAATAAGCCAAGAGGAAAGCTGTGACAGTAATGTTGCATAAATTGACCTTCTCCATCATGTCTAGTTCAGTGTGATTGCTTAAATACATTATGATCCCCCATCCATTAGTTTTCCAAGTACAGGTTTTAGAATCAGTCCTGACACATTTTTTCATACTTTTAACAACATATAGGCATAGCATTATTACAATAATTATTGATTGTTGGAAGTTCTTTGTAAATTGTAGAGGGTGAGTTTAGACTGTCCATGTATTTTTTAAAGGATACAAGTGTTTAAAAGGAGAGGAGAGGTAAGACAAGAAGAAATAATATGTATAGAAGAAAATCTTAATAAGCAATGAATTTTAAAAGCTTTTAATTAGAAGAGGTTCCAAGAAAAGCCTAATTACATATTATGTACGTGTAATTACGAAGAAAGTAATAATAACCAGTTTCATTAAAGATCTAATTAGTATAAATACAAAGGTCTTTGCATAATTAGCCAAGATAGTTTTAATTAGCATACTTATCTAGGATAGGTCTAATTAGTATAATTACCTAGGAAAGGTCTAATTTACCCAGGGAAGGCCTAATTATTATAATTACCCAGGAAAGGTCAAATTAGTATATTTACCCAGGAAAGGTGTAATTAGTATAATTACCAAGGAAAGATCTAATTACTATAATAAACCAGGAAAGGTCTAATTATTATAATTACCTAGGAAAGGTCTAATTAGTATAATTACCCAGGAAAGGTCTAATTAGTATAAATAACCAGGAAAGGTCTTATTAGTATAATTAGCTAAGAAAGATCTAATTATTATAATTACCCAGGAAAGGTTTAATCAGACTAATTACCCAAGAAAGGTGTGATTAGTATATTTACCTAGGAAAGGTCTAATTAGTATAATTACCCAGGAAAGGTTTAATTAATATAATTACCTATAACTCCAATGCCTCCAACGATGGGTATAATGACACCTTCAAGCCAGAACTTACATTCATAAACCAACCTTAACACAATAAGGGGACTGTAACCGTAACTTCAATTGAACCTTGATGCAAAGATGGTAATGTCCGATTTACAATGGTACCCTTGAAACTTTAATCTGATCTAAAATTTGGAAGATTTTATTACTTGAAAAGTGTTTAACTCTAATAATCTCTCCATTTCTGATCTTAAAAGCAAGAAATGCGCAAGTCACTTTCACAGAGAAATCGCAAATGAAAATAAACAGTTTAAAGAAACAAAAACATGGATATCTAATTCATTCTTGAACAGACAAAGCTTTTAAGGTTACCGTTGTAAATCGGGCATTGCCATCTTTCCATAGAGGGTGACTTTAAATTACGCTTACAGTCCCTTTAAGGAAGTTTAAAAAGACTCTTTTTCAAAGAAAGACACAACGAGATGGGGGATTCTTCACATCAAATACTAGTAGAATATCCTGCACGTGGATCATAGGCTTAGATAAGGTTTTATTAATCCCCCCCTCCCTTAGACTCCTGGGGGGTAATTCCACCCCCTTTAGACTCTTTGGCTTATAAGTATATCCTTCTAGTATCTTAATCTCCATTCTCCATTTCAATGATTATCAAGAAAGGAAAAATATGAACATTTGTTTTGGCGCTTCGTGCCTCATTTAATTCAATCACTGTAATCAAAGTAACAAAGATAAGTTTTACCAAAAATTCGATAATTTATTGCAATAGCGTACTAGTAACATATTTTTCACTTAATCCAGCGAAATTAACATATTTAAACTATATTTAATATAAATCATGAATGGGGTTCTATATTGCCTAGGTTGGATTCTATAAATTTACCTACCCCCCCCCCCCCAGGAAACTGTTAGCTACGCCTACGACGTGGATTCAACTGTCACGGGCAAATAAACTAATTAAGCTATATCCAGGATGATTAAAAAAAGTGTGATTTGCGGCGCCCGGTGCAAAATTGTACCGTGCAACTCTCCTGTATGGTGTTTTTTCAATATTTTTGAAAATTTGTAATTTTTAAAGATTGAATCAAAGAATCACAAAATATTCTAAAAATTGTAAGAAGAAAATTCGCAATTTTCAAGTTCTGTTCTAATTTTTTAGGAAAAGTTATTTAAATTTTTAAGTTCCTTTTTTCTTAGTATATTCTAAAGTGTTAAATATACGCCATTTAGGAGAGTTGCACAAAAAAGATGCAATTTTGCACCAGGCGTCGCAAATCACACTTTTTTTTTGACTCACTCTGTAGTTTTACAGAGAATATTTGTCATTTACAGGTAGTGATGGGCGTCGTTTTTGAGAACAGACGCAATTTTTTTTGTAAACGATGGTGTCGTTCAGAAAAAGAAAAAAATGGACGAACAACTTTAATCAAAAAAACATACGAAAAAACGAACGATTTTATATAATACGAACGATTTTTGAACGATTCTTTCGTACAAACCTTTCAAATAAGAGTTTTTCGAACACTTATACTGAAAGAAAGATTTTATTGAACAAACAATTTCCCTGTACAAACGATTTTACTGAAAGGACGCTTTTATTGAACAATCATCCAATGAGAAAACGATCGAAATAGATGGTAAATGAACGATAATTTTGAGAACGAACGATATCATTTTGTTTAATGATTGAAAAAAAAGAACGAAATGCGCAGTTAACGAACTTTGAACGAACGAAATAAAAGGCATAACGCGCCCATCTCTATTTATAGAACCTCCCTATTGATAGAATTATATGCATTATAGGAAAGATTCAAAGAGAAATAATTTCGCAGATATTTTTTCTTAGGATAGTGTCTCTATGTATATAGTAGATAATCTAGCTCAGTTTCTTTGATGTGATGTCTGATTACAACTCAAATACTCCTTGACCGATTTTCCTTTAATTTTGATTGGGGAACTCGTGAAATCCACGGAAATGTTCTAGGTTGAGTAGGTCGACTTTTATGCGAAGAATTTAACCTCCAGGCAAAACAGGGTTGGCGAGCTAATCTTTTCGGAGATGAAGAAGAAATTTTAGACAGTTAAATTATTCCACCTGTTGTAAAAGTCAACCGATTCCTCGGAGGTGTTCATTGTGATTCTATTAAAATATATCATAAAAACCTTGCTTCTTTGTATGGGTATCTGTATCCAATGAACGTTAAAATGGCTGAATTTATCAGGACCACATTTGTGGCAACTACCATAACCACAAGGCAGGTTAATAAAAATAGACTTCCAGAGCGGTTTTTACCCGTTCTCTATAATAACCATTTTAGCTTTGTACACCGTGGCCCCCTAGGCTGCCATTTTACCTTGTAAATATAGTAAACAGATTTTTCTGTTAAAATTTGCGCATTTTAAAAAATGAAATTTCCACATTATTTACGGGCAAAGTTTGTAGTTTTTAACCTATATGAACTTTCCCTGAGGTCATATACGTAAGCTACCACAACAAATTTAAAACGACCAACTTTATTACGCAAAGCGCCCTGTAATTTGTTATTTTTTTCCAAAAGCCATAATTTTTACTGAAGTACCTATGTTTGACCTAAGTTTAATTACAAGTAGATACAACAGATCATAGAAACATGATTCTCAATATTTTTTCCTCATTTTTGATACTAGACTTACAACATGCATCTGTTCACCTCTGTACTTTAAGCGGAATTTCCAAATTAAAATTTGTTTGGTTTCAAACTTTTTGAAATTTCCACCAACCATAAACTTTCCCTTAAATTATGGTAGGTCCCACAACAAACATAGAATCCCAATAGAGTTGAATAGAGTCTACACGGTTTATGATCTGAAGATCAATTAGTTGAATAGAGTCCACACAGTTTATGATCTGAAGATCAATTAGTTGAATAGAGTCTACACAGTTTATGATCTGAAGATCAATTAGTTGTATAGAGTCCACACGGTTTATGATCTGAAGATCAATTAGTTGAATAGAGTCTACACAGTTTATGATCTGAAGATCAATTAGTTGTATAGAGTCCACACAGTTTATGATCTTAAGATCAATTCGTAGAATAGTGTCTTTACAGTTTATGATCTGAAGATCAACTATTGTTGAATAGAGTCTACACAGTTTATGATCTGAAGATCAATTAGTTTAATAGAGTCTACACAGTTTATGATCTGAAGATCAATTAGTTCAATAGAGTCTACACAGTTTATGATCTGAGGATCAATTAGTTGAATAGAGTCTACACAGTTTATGATCTGAAGATCAATTAGTTAAATAGATTCTACACAGTTTATGATCTGAGGATCAATTAGTTGAATAGAGTCTACACAGTTTATGATCTGAAGATCAATTAGTTGAATAGAGTCTACACGGTTTATGATCTGAAGATCAATTTGTTGAATAGAGTCTACACAGTTTATGATCTGAAGATCAATTAGTTGAATATAGTCTAAACAGTTCATTATATGAAGTAGAGTCTACACCGTCAGGCGCTTTATATGCA